ATGATTGGTAGATACAAAAGTAGGTGTATAGAAATCTCAAACGATGCAAAATGCCCGCTTTTGGTGGTAGTTTTCCTACCCTCTTTTGAAAAACCACTCAAAGCGGGCATTTTGCCCCCATTGACCGCGAAAGGGTTAAAATTGCTAGTAACCCGGAACTGCACGGACGATCAAAGCATATTGAAATCCGTTAGCATTTGTTTAGGAAAAGGTAGAACGACATGAATTCAGCGTCGCTTACTGCAACACTAAGTCAATGGTGGCAGACATCTTTACCAAGTCACTTGACAAGCATCAGTTCCGGAATTTAAGAAGACAACTAGGAATGCAATCATTTAGTGAATTAGCAATAGATAGATCATTAAACACGGTCGAATGCATATCCATTTCACAATATCAATGAGTCACAGGACAGTGTGGGGTTTCCGCTACAATAGGTTTACCCACTGCATCCTGTAGGTTTTATCCTCACTGAGGTTTCCCTGGTACACAGCCACCGTATAAGCAAGAAATAATAATCTGAAAAATGAGTGAAAAGCCAAAGAATCAATGTATTATCAATATTGCAAAAGTAAAATACGACCTTGTATTTTTTATTGACAAACAGGAAATAACCATGTAAAATGTGTGAAAAGACAAAGAAACAATGTATTATCGTATTTTGTACAAGTTAAAAAAAATTCGAACTTATACTTATTTATTTCTGAAAGATTACCTTACGGACAAACATCAACCTATCAATCCATTAGCTGTAGTGACCCTATCCTCGATGTATGCCACTCTCGTTGTCAGTGCAGATTGGAGAGCTTTACAAATTTTTTTGCGACGTGATGGTCGACTCGATCTTGCTGAAAAAGCCGGTGTATTTATCTTAGTTAATCTGCGAACGCGAGAGCTCCTCCTTGGCTTCACGTGAGTCTGTAGAGGCTGTTGGTCTGGCTGCGTGTCTTTTAGTTGCTGCAATTGAATGACGTGCTCTGAAGATGAGTCGATGCACGCGGGTTTCTCCACCGGCGAGACCGTAGGTAGAGCAGATCTCACGAGCATTTTTAGTGCTGGTAACTGCTTGACTAATGCTGCCGCGATGCTGCCACCAGTCATTGACAGAACCTGAGCCGACCGAAGCATATTGTCTGGGGCTGGCGTATTATTACGGAGCTCCGGACCAATATACCACCGGTCAGACTACAGACTACTGAGACTTAGCAATGGAGACGGGAGGACTTGGCAAAGACACGACAGGACTTGGCAAGCAGACGAGAAATGAGAGAATGAGACCGGCTACAGACGTGCTGAAAGACGACTGTGTCGCATGCTATACCACACGCGTCTTCGACAGTCTTGTCGAGGTTAATCTGATACCAAATCAGAACGTCTTCATCATATGAACCTCCTAAAACTAATTCGAGAATGAGATAAAGTTCGAAGGGCAGAAGTGCTGGACCTGACCAAACCCTCTCAACGAGGAGAGCTCAAAACTGACCTCAGATTGCTCATAGCTGCTCTGAAAGCCTCAGAAATCGAAGAAAAAAAACAGATTTTTGTGTAGCCATTTTTGTAAACTGACTGA